CCAGTTGCCTTGATCTATCCACTGTCCTTCTCCTCATCCTTTCCTCTATCACTCCTATCTGCTCTCGCTCCAAATCCTCTGTAACCCCTTGCGTGCTAGTGGATTCCCGCCTTGTTTGGGATGAAATGCTTAAAATATATATATATATATATATATATATATATATATATATATATATATATATATATATATATAATAAAAGACTTAAACACTAATTTACCATGGTCATAATTTATTCCATTGGAATCATAAATACGATCCAATTCATCAGACCTACAAATTCAAAAAGAAAACAGAAAAAACAACTCCGGAAATAAAAAATAGAATTAGAGAGAGTGTAAGTATGAGTGTGGGACGAATGTTAGAGCTAAAGAGAGGGTAACAGACGAGAGAATGTGGGAGATTAAAACTTAACAGAGAGAAGTTTTAGAGAGGTGAGTTAAAGACGGTTTAAGTGAAAGAAATATGAATGTTGTCGGATGTCTAATACATTAAGGATGTAACCGGAAAGGATACATTTTGTGGTGACATATATATATATATATATATATATATATATATATATATATATATATATATATATATATATAAAAAAGTGATTTGTACCCGCAGAAATAAAACATAGATTTAAACAAAATGGACGTCATGTCATACCTTAGGTACCTTTCGACCAACACTTTTTTCAAAGGTATACGTTGGTAATTGGAAGACAATCAAAGACACAATCAATATAACGAATGAGGAGGGAAAGTTGGAACACGATTAAAAAAAGAGATAAATTTGAATTACAAATAATTAAAATTCAAAATTTTCACCCCCTTTTTGAGGGAGTGAAAAAGAATGAATGAGAAGTCTTTAGTGAGAGGTGAGGAGAAAGAACAGGGAGACAAAACATGACGATTAGTTTTGCATTTAAATTTTTGAAGATTGTGTGCGACAGGGTAGCAAGAAATCTGAAGGAAATTCCACAGGCGAGAAGTGCAAGAAAAAAACTATGAGGATATAATACACGGTTGCATCTAGCTAGTTCACCAGTAAAACGGTGAGACCTAGTTGCCAATCTAGTAATACGTTTAAATTCATGCAGTCAAAGCACCAAGGAAGAAAACTCATCAGAACAATTACCATGAAAATATTAGTAAAAAAAAAAAAAAAAAAAAAAAAAAGAAAAGAAAAAAAAGAAAGAAAAACAGCGGAATGATGACTGAAGTCAATATGCCAGATTACATTACAGAACCTTCTTAGAATTTTATCAAGAATATTAAGATATATAGTAAGAACACCAGATCGGATATCGCAGGAATATTTAATGTACGGACGGATAAGAGATTTATAAAAGAGAGATTTAGAGGGATTCTAACGAGAAAAACAGTCTGGTACGACACAGTGAAACAACTTACGTCGAAGTAGACCTAGCAATACCTGTCAGGAGAAAACGTTGACCCAAGAAGGCGGAAGGAATTGCTCTTATAGCGGTTAACATCAGTCATGCTTATGATAGACAGAAAAGGTTCTATATTGATTAATTTAAAGCAGTTATATTTTGGAGATGTTAAAATTTACAAGCCATTCCTTGCCCCAGTTAACCACTGATTGGAAGTCCTTTTCGAGATCAGGTACCAATTTACACTGTAGTGAATAATGCAAGTAATCATAATACTTCATCTCGGAGATATAGACAGAGAAATCTGATATAAAGGCCAGAGAGTAAAACGGACAAAACTTTGTGAATATGGCAATGAAGATGAGGATAACAGCCTGAATAATGCAAATAATGCAAGTAATCATAATACCTCATCTCAGAGATATAGACACAGAAATATGACATAAAGGCCGGAGAATACAACGGCCGAAACGTTGTGAATATGGGAATAAATATGAGGAAAACAGTCCAAATAAGGTAAATAATGCTAATAATCCTAACACCTCATCTCAGAGATATAGACTGTTATATATGCCTGAAAGCATATTTTCTTTATTAAGAATGGCCAAAAATTAAAGGGGCCTCTGGTCCATTTTAGAAAACAGAAATGATAATTTTGATGAAATAACTTTGAATTCTTCAATTCCCGCCATGGAACTTCAAAACCTCAATTCAACTCTTATTCGAGCTATAAGTGCAATTCCAGCCGAAAGGGTCAAAACACAGATTTAGGCTGAAATTCTAATTCAGACTGAAAATTGAATTCTTCAAATCATAAATTCCATGTCATTTCAATTCTGTTGAGTTCTTCAAATCACAAACTCTGTGAAACTTCAAAACTTCACGTCACAAAACCTCTCATTTTAACTCTGATTCTTTGGCATTTTGAAGAAATAAAATTGATTTCCTCAATTCACAAAGTATTGGAGATATTTTAAACTAAATTTAAGACAAAAACTTGTAAATTCACAAAGTTTTTGTGTTACTTTAAACTCAATATAAATGAAAAACTTTTAAAATCATTAATTTTTTGCAGTTATTTTAAAATTTGAAGTTTTAAATGTTCCCTCCTCATCCAGACACCAATGCCAGATGTTCAAGCACTAGATGAAGAGTAGATTTTCAATCTGGGGTCATCCTGATTCCAAAAAGGTATATGTCTATGTAGAGCAAGTGTGGCCAGAGTTGGATGGGTTTCAGAAGACACACAGGTGGACAGAAGGAATCTGCTTTTTATTTAGAAGATGGAGAAAAATACAAATTTTAGTAAATTTTATTGTGCAAGTTCAAAATGGAAATGTAAGCAAGAGTAAATTGCTTGCAGTATCAACCAAGTATTTGGGCAAAAGGGCTGGCCACAGCTATTCAGCATCAGTTCAAAAATTTCAGAAAGACTTGAAGATGAAAAATGGTGCAGATATCTTCATCTGATTAATGATATCTAATTAATTCAGAGCCATTATTGAAGCAGACTCCAATCCAGGCCGAAAATTGAGTTCTTCAAATCACAAACTTTGCAGAACTTCAAAACTTCTCACTTTAACTCTGATTCCTTTCAATTTTGAAGAAATAAAATTGATTTCCTCAATTCACAAAGTTTTGGAGATATTTGAAACTGAATTTAAAAGAAAAAAATTTAAATTCACAAAGTTTTTGTGTTACTTTAAACTCAATATAAATTAGAAACTTTTAAAATCACTCTTTTTTTTTTTTTTTTTTTTTTTTTTTTTTTTTTAGTTATTTTAAAATTTGAATTTTTAACTGTTCCCTCCTCATCTGGACACAAATCCCAATGCAGGATGTTCAAGCAGAGGGGGCACAAATGTTTAATACCAGGATTATCGTGATTCCAAAAAGGATTATCCTGATTGCAAAAAGGATTATCCTGATTCCAGAAGGGTATAATATGTCAATGTAGAGTGTGGCCCAAATTACAGGGGTTCCAGACACACAGACAGAAATAATTTGCTGTTTATTTATTTAGAAAGAAGAAAAATCTGATATAAGAATAGAAAAAAATGAAAATATCTGTATCCTCCCACAAATGCTAACTCTTATATTAAACTAGTTTAAAAGCTGCACTCTGTGTGGACTTTTAAGCTACCTTCTCTAGAGGGATAATTAGGCCTCCAGCCGAAAAATAAAGGGACCTCTGGCCCAGCTTACGAAATAGCATTGATAATTTTGAAGAAATATCTTTGAATTTCTTAATTCCCTCCAAGGAACTTCAAAACCTCACTTTAACTCTGAATTGGGCTATAAGTTCAATTCTGGTCAAACGATTGATTTCGGCCCAAATTCCAATTCAGGCCAAAAATTCTTCAAATCACAAACTCTGCGGAACTTTAAAACCATACATCATCAAACCTCTCAATTTAACTCGAATTCCTTGGCATTTTGAAGGAATAAAATTGATTTCCTCAATTCACAAAGTTAAAGATATTTTAAAGTGAATTTAAACAAACCTTTTTAAATTCACACACTTTTTGTGTTACTTTAAACTCAATGTAAATTTAAAACTTTTAAAATCACTCCTTTTTTTCAGTTATTTTAAAATTTGAATTTTTAATTGTTCCCTCCTCATCCAGACACAAATCCCAATGCTGGGTGTTCAAGCACAAGATGAAGGGCAGCTTTTAAATCGCAGGATGATCCTGATTCCAAAAAGATATCATTTATCTATGTAGAGAAAATTTAGCCCGACTGTGAGAGGTTACAGAGATACGAACAGTCAGACAGAATTTGCCGTTTATTTATTTAGATGACTAGCAGCATGGCCCGGCGTTGCCGGTGCTTGATTAAAAAATCGTACGACTAATACAGCAATCGCTATCACTTGACTTAAAATATTTTTGCCCTTCCTTGCCTTTAAAGGAGTGCCCTTTGCCGTGCTGATGTTGCTACATGCCTTACTTCTTGCCTATCTCACACTGCGAATTTTTTCTAAGCTCTATACTAAACATTAAATCTGTTACGAAAAAAGAACTAAACAAAATGAACACAAAACGATCAGCTTTATAAAAGGACTCGTAACTGGAAAAACCGAATGAAAAAGTAATGTTAACAACAAATACTTTTTCACACTCAACCCAGTTCTGCGGAATCAGAATCAACGTTGAGTTTAAACAAGCGAATGAGCCAATTGGAGTAAAGTGCCATGCAGATTTTAATTTTTCCCACTTGTGACGAATGCAGCTATCGATTTTTTTGCATGCTAGTTGACATTCTTGTCAGTCAGCTGTTGGCTCTTACGCTGGCCAATAGAATCTTCCTGCCTATTCGTGGCAGCCAGCTATTGTCTCTCACTCTGGTCAGTCCAAAATGGCCGCAAACTACATGAAAACTGCCGTAGAAGCATGAAAAATCAATTATTTCCACTATCGATGGGAGTTGGGAAATGCAAAGTCGGTCTTGGTCTTCCCGCTAACTTGGAGCATGTGCATGTACATTTTGGTGCAAATCCGTTGAAAATTGCGTCTGTGCATTCATTACACACGCACACATCTTGCTTTTTATAGATAGAGATTATATGTTTATATGATTTTATAATTACAGTTTATTTTTTTTTTTTTTTTAGGAAATTCAATGAAGGACAAAATGCCACTCACCAGAAAATGGTAATTTCCCTTAAATTCTCGACGAATCAAATAAAAAATGACGCAGACTTGTTACAGGTCATGTGATCTATAGTTTCCACTCCTGAGAACGTGATAAGATAATGGACACTGAGAAGATTTGAGCAAGTCTCACTATGCCTAAATTAATAGAAGCAGAATGCCGAGCAAAATATCCTTTCGTGTGGCTCATGTATCGGGCCAAGACGTCAACTACAGAGCAACAGAACTCAACCATCATGGACCCCTAACAAAAGGATGGCAGTCGAGCAGGTAAGGAAACATTTTATGAACGATGGATGATGTATTTATTTATTTTTTACCCTAAGTAAACCTGATTAAGGATTATTTTACCCAAAGTATGGATTTTTACCCAAAACAGACGTAATTTATGATTTTTTTTTACCCGAAGTCGACCTAATTATGTATTTTTTTCATCCTAATTATGGATTTTTATCCAAAGTAAACATAATTAGGAATTTTACCCGAAATACACTTAATTATCAATAATTACCCAAAATGGATTGAATTATGTATTTTTACCCACAAGTAGAACTAATATGGGATTATTACTCGAAGTAAACTTAATTTTGAATTTCTAGCTAAAGTAGACCTAATTATGGATTTTTTATCCAAAGTAGGCCAAATTATGGATTGTTACTCGAAGTTGACATAATTATGGATTTTAACCAAAGTAGACCTAATTACGATTTTTTACCCGAAATTGACTTAACTATGGATCTTTACCCGAAATAGACCCAAGTATGGATTTTTCTTATACGCAGACATAATTATGGATTTTTACCCAAAATAAAACTAATTATGGCTTTTTACGAGAATTAAGCCAAATCATGGATTTTTACCCAAAGTAGACTTAATTATGGATTTTCACACGAAATAGAGCTGATTATCGAGTTTTTACCCGAAATAGACCTAATTATAGAATTTTACCCAAAATAGACCTAATTATAGAATTTTACCCAAAATAGTGCTAATTATAGATTGTTATCCAAAATAGCGTTGATCATGAATTTTTACCCAAAGTAGACTTAATTATGGATTTTTACCCGAAACAGACATAATTATAGATATTTACCCAAAGTAGACATAATTATAGATTTTCACCTGAGATAAACATAATTATGGATTTTTACCTAAAGTAGGCTTAATTCTGGATTTTTACCCAAAATAGACCTAATTATAGATTTTGCTGATGTATACCTAATTATAGATTTTCATGTATTATGACAAAGCGGCTGTAAAAGTCGTTGTTTCCTTGTATCCTTCATGAAGTACCGAACTAGCACTAACCAAATATGCAATATTTGTTGCTGGATGTTCCCAATCCCCATTTTCTAGCCTTAGTAGAACTCAAAAGCTTCAGAACATTTACAAATGAAACGTCTCATGCCTCTCGTTACTCGATCGTTATTCCCAATGTATAAATGTTTTGGCGAGCGACATTCATTAGTTCCCCCTTTCAGACCTTTACATCTTAGACCCGCCCTGCCACGTATACAGGGTCGAATCATCCTCATTCCATTCGTATCTTAAGTTTAAATTTTCTAAAGAATTTTAATTATCATCTTTTCATTAAAAATTAAGACACATTGTTTTGTTTGTGCCAATAAATGAATCATAAAAATATATTGTACCTTTACTGTTTTTTTATCAACGTAATTTAAGTCTTTAGGAACACCATGTGCGTCCTGATATAAAACACATTGATTTAGACCAGGGGTTTTCAAACTGTGGTCCGTGGACCACAGGGGGGTCTGCAATGACAAGATAGGGGGTCCGTGGACAGCAAAGACTTTTTTATGGGTGACGTGCAACTTATAAGCGCTTATAAGTAACTTATAGGCCGATCATGAAATAAATTGGTTCAATAAACTATTTCATAGATTTGATGTACTAATATAATTTGTATCTTAAATTGATAAAGATAATGGATTCTATTCGTGCAGAGAAAGAACCAAAGGATTTGAGTTTGACATGCAGCATTAATTTACTTGAACACTTATGTCTAAAGTAAGCTTTAAATCAGCTTTTATTGCATTAATGCAAAATTATGTGTTATATTCAGCAAATATTTATGTATAAATTTCATAAGCGTTTATAAGGGGACCTAAGGTAAAGCCTTATATTTTAGGCTTTACCTTAGGGACCTAAGGTAAAGCCTAAAATATAAAGGGGTCCGCAAGTCAAAAAGTTTGAAAACCCCTGATTTAGACTAATAACTGAGTCTAGAGATTTAGAAGAGTGCATGTATAAAAATTAAATCCTATATATCTCTAGATATTTTCAACCAATAAAATCCTATACATGTCTATATATATTTAAACAAATAAAATCCTATATATCTCTACATATCTTTCAACCAATAAAATCCTATATATCTCTATATATTTTCAACCAATAAGATCCTACATATGTCTATATATTTTAAACTAATAAAATTTTATATATCTCTATATATTTTTCAACCAATATAATCCTACATATCTATGTATATGTTCAATCAATAAAATCCTATATATCTCTATATATTTTTCGACCAATAAAATCCTATATATCTCTTTATATTTTTCAACCAATAAATTCCTATATATCTCTAGATATTTTCAACCAATAAAATCCTATACATGTCTATATATATTTAAACAAATAAAATCCTATATATCTCTACATATCTTTAAACCAATAAAATCCTATATATCTCTATATATTTTCAACCAATAAGATCCTACATATGTCTATATATTTTAAACTAATAAAATTTTATATATCTCTATATATTTTTCAACCAATATAATCCTACATATCTATGTATATGTTCAATCAATAAAATCCTATATATCTCTATATATTTTTCGACCAATAAAATCCTATATATCTCTTTATATTTTTCAACCAATAAATTCCTATATATCTCTATATATTTTCAACCAATAAAATCCTATATATCTCTATTAATTTTTCAACCAATAAAATCCCATTAGAACGTTTGTTTCATAAACAAACATTACACTGGCAAATACTGAAAGAATTTCAAAAGCAGAATAGGTGTGCATATCAAAATGAAAAGCCCTTTAAATTTATTATACGAGTATATCTTTGATAAAAAAATAAGAAATGACATTGCAGTTAAAATATTCAAAAACAGATATATAATTTTGTTTTATCTCTTATGGTCGAATTTCAAAATATTACCGAAAAAGTTGTAGAAATATTTCCTTTCTCAACGTCATATTTGTATAAACCTGTCTTGTAGAAATACTTCCTTTCTCAACGTCATATTTTTATAAACCTGTCTTGTAGAAATACTTCCTTTCTCAACGTCATATTTGTATAAACCTGTCTTGTAGAAATACTTTCTTTCTCAACGTCATATTTGTATAAACCTGTCTTGTAGAAATATTTCTTTTCTCAACGTCATATTTGTATAAACCTGTCTTGTAGAAATACTTCCTTTCTCAACGTCATATTTGTATAAACCTGTCTTGTAGAAATACTTCCTTTCTCAACGTCATATTTGTATAAACCTGTCTTGTAGAAATACTTCCTTTCTCAACGTCATATTTGTATAAACCTGTCTTGTAGAAATATTTCCTTTCTCGACGTCATATTTCTATAAAACTGTGTTGTAGAAATATTTCCTTTCTCAATGTCATATTTGTATAAACTTGTCTTGCAAAGAAGATATTCTAAACAAATGTGAAGCTTAGTTATCTCATCATATGTTAAATTACAATTAAAAAAACTAAATAAATACATGGTACGATAAGTAAATTGACGACATATTATATTTTTAATTTCGCGCATGCGCATTGCTTGATTTTGATTTTACACAATATACTAGGGTCAGTTGAAAAAAAATGACACCATGGCGCAATTCGTCCAACTAGAAATTTGGAGACGGCATCATGTACGAACATTTCTGAGGCTGCCAATCTGAGAACAGTTCAAATGATTTGGAAAGAGTTGTATGAGTCTAATGGTGTTTACGAAGGTGCGGCAGCTCGGAAAAGTCACTCTAATTGTTCTGAGAAGAGAATTCCTTAATTTGTTGATGAGGGCCTCAGACTCGACACTTTAGTCCTACATTAAGTGCCCTGAAGAGGTAGTACTACGTTGGGTCAAGAGAGTGGCCGCTGGAAGATCCTATGTCTGGCAACAGGACTCTGCACCATGCCACACAAGCAGGAGAACTCAGTCATGACAGTCAGACAATTTCTGCTACCACATCACTTCTTACATCTGGCCACCTAACTCCCCAGACTGCACCCCCCCTTGATTATTATTTGTGGGTCGCAGTTGAGCGAGATACCAACAAAATTCCTTGTAACATCAAAGATGAACTGAAGGCAAGGATTATGGCAACATTCACCAACTTAAACAAGGAGACCGTCCCGAAGAGTTGCAGGAGATTTTGAAGTTGTCTGGGGGCCGTCGTTGAAGCCAATGGTGATTTTATTGAATCTAATATTTCTAGATATTTTTTGCGTGATTTTGATAAAAATATCTGTTAAAATGAGATGTTAGTGTCATTTTAATTTTGACGCCATTTAGACGACAATTCATCCATCGCATCCTGTAAATATAAGTGTTTTTAACAATTTTAATTAGTATCTTTTTGTTACAAATTATAATTAATTGTCTTCTTTTTGTTAATAAATAAATCATAGAAAGAATATTCTTATTATCATCATAATTAAAATGAGCCGCAGAAATTTAATTATAGGTTGAAAAACATTGGTTTAGATCAGCAGTTCCCGACTTTTTTTTTTTTTTTTTTTTTGGCCCTATCCCACCTAAGCATCTCTAAAATCCTCATGCAACCTCCTCACCCCCAGTGACGTATAATTCTTATTCAAAACGTGAACTCCATTTCATGTAGGGGAAGCCTAAAAGACCATTAACTTAACTTTCCTGAAGAACTTGAGAATGCATATATATATATATACAAGAGTATTACCATTTAATTTTTGAATTGTTTATATTGTGTTACTAATATATATATTAATACATACATAATTGCACATATATATGCATGCACATATTTTTATGTATGCATGCTGTAAATGCACTTTATGTAAACTAATACGGACAATCTAGAACAAATCTGGTATTAAATGACCCATAAGGAGTTAATATGCCATTAAATAGACCAAATCAAATCTATTCACATGGATGAACCCTAAAAAGCCATTGACTTAACTTTCCTGAAGAACTTGAGACTGCATATAGTATTATCATTTAATTTTAGAATC